CCCCCTTTCTCCTCCCATCGCTCTGGGAGTTTTCCTGTTTTTCCCCATCCAGAAGGGGCTCTCAGAGCCTTGTGCAGCCTCTCGCCACCAGCAGAAAGGCCACTCGAGCACAGTAACCTGATCTCGATGCAGCCTGCACATCCTATCACATCCTGGTGCCCAGCAGAGAACCGGTAGAGAAACGTTTCTGAAGTCAGACGTTTCCCTCCCCGTTACTACGCTTCTGTTTTTTCAAAGCAGAGTTAATTGCTTTTGTAGATTTTGCATTTTCAAACAGACTTCAAGCCAAGCTTTTTCTTTGAGCCTCATAGCTGCGACCGCTCCTGTTGATGACAATCTGAAGGTTTTTTTCCCCTCCTCTTTTCTGTGACCCCTCTCCTGGAATCCCTGGAATGTTAAAAACCTCCTGGAAGGAGCATTCCCCCCTTTCCCTCAGCCCCCCCAGCAGCTCTCTGCAGAGAACCAGTTCCTCAAATTAATACCTCCAAGTCCCAACTGGCCCAGAGATTCCCAAACTCGGTGAGGAGCACTCCCTGGAGTGCAACAAAACCACCCCACGGTTCCTACAGCTTCAGCTCACAGCCACATCTTTCGCTGGGAAGCAGCGCGTGCATCGGCCTTAGAAATGCAGGAATTTCATAACACCCACTGCTGCTGAAATGCTGCCAACTCCGAGGTGGAGCAGAGCCGTGGTTGCAAGCCTGCAGCATCAAAGAACAGTTTTCAACAAAGGTGTGGAAAAAAAAAAAAGCAGTGCCCACACCAGGAATTTTCTTTCACTCTGGCAAGTTTACAATCAATTGCTGCAGGACAAGTCACAGCGAACCAAGAAAATTCTCCTCCTCCTTCCACCTCCCTGAGGTTTGCCCTGGCTGTGTTTTGATATTTCAAATCAGGGCATTTCCATATAGCAGGCAACACCTTAAATTTACACGGGGAGACCTCCGAAGCAAAACATAGCGTTGGACCTTGCCACGTTTGCCTTGTTAAGCAAGATGGAGAAAGAGCAGCCTGGATTTTCTCTCAAATGCGCCTGGGTCCTGGCAAAACATCCCCCTTACCTTCGCCAGGTAACTATCCTGGAAATGGGTTTTGTGCGCGTAGGGCTAGCTTCCTCCTGCCTGCAAGTTACTGCCTGTTCGAGCCCTCTCCAAGATGCAAACATTTGCTCTGCAGCAGTGGAGAGAAACCAGGGCAGGGAGGGAAGAGAGGGTTATTTGCAGTGGTGTTTTGTTTGGAGTCGGGATGGTCTAGGGGCCCCTCTGCTGCTGCTCCTCCTAATTCACACAGGAAGAAGGAGATTATCCTGCACAGAGACAAGCAAGGCTGAAGGCAGAAGCAGCAGTTCAGAGCAAGAATAGCTTGGCCCCTGCATGATGTCACATCATTAGAAGCCACAGCGAGGTTAAAATCGAGTCAGGATGCTGTGTTTATGGAGCAGGACTCGGCCTCATCTTCGCCCAAAGATAATTTCGTCTGGCGCTTCGCGCTATTGTCAATAAAAACAGAGCTGGGTGGAAATTCCCTCCCCGTGAGCCACACGCAGGCAGCCCCCAGCTCAGCCTCCTCTTGCAAGGAGGCTGCACCCTGCCTTGCTCTGAACCCCGACCTTGGCTGGCACCCAGCAGGATGAAGCCTCCCGGTTTAGTTGGCACTCGCCAGAAGAGTCAGGGAACTTTACAGGCGCTCCAGCTCCGCATGCCTCAGCCTTTGCTTTTACAGGGATTATTTCTGAAAACCCACTTCCCCCGTGTCTCCACTTGGGTTCATGTCGGATGCCTGCAGCTTATGGCTGGAGAGTCATAAAAAGCGTTTAACATGCCTTTCTGCTTAAGTCTGGAGAGGGAAAAAAAACCAAAAACAAACAAAAAAAAAAAAAAACACAAAACCAATCCAGAAAAGCCTCCAGCTAGAGAACAAGCAGATGCAGCACAACTGCAGCTTTATCTCAAGCAAGAGCATCGGGGACTGACACATAGCTACTACCCCCAGCAAGGAAAAGGGAGAATCCGCCTCTTCAAAGACGTGTGGCTTCCTCCTGCGAGCTAGCCTTTGGGGTAGTTTTGGTCAAAACGAATCCTTGGTGAAGGCAACGTGGCTTTTCCCCAGTTCAGTGAAGGTTTCAGATCACTCCAGGGATATTTAATTATGCCCACAGTTGCCTTGTCAATGCACTGAACCATGCTACCGCATCTTGCGTTTCTTAAGGATCAGTTCCCACAAGAGTGAGGTCATGCACAGATTGCAACAGCCCTACTTTTATAAATAAAATAAGTGCAAGTTCGTGACCCTTTTGGTGCCCAGACAGCTTGGCAAGTGCAGCTGCTAACACCTGAAAATGAACACTGTAAGCAAAGGAGCCCAACACCGATCATTTTAATTTGATGGGGTTCCCACAAATAGTTGTCCAGCAGTGGAGGACCAGCAAAGAGGATTTTATGATGCAAAGTCCCCTTTGTTGGTGCATCAGGAGCTCAATAATCAGCAGCTCCCTCTGCTAGCAGCCCAGAGCAGCCTTCATTAGGACAGATCCTGACCTGATCACTTTTGGTGGCATTTTTCTAATTTTATAAAGCCTTTAGCTTTTAAGCACTTTTCTAATGGAAGATTACTTCCAGTCTTGCTCCCAATCCTTTTTCTATTGCAAAGGCTTCAAAAGCAACAAGAAAGTTGAAGGAACATTTATCTTGCAGCAAGAACCAAGTCGTTCTTGTAAAGGGCACAGGAAGCCTGCAGGTTCCATCTGTTAAATAGATTTATACTGAGAAATAAACTGGCTTCAAGAGAGTTGTATAAGATACCTACAGAAATGACTGCCTCTAGGGCCTCGGATGCCAAGTATCTGAAACCCACTGTAGAAGCAAGGCTTGAATTACAGCTCTACAAGTCTTTTTTTAAAATAAATGATAGGGGAAAGCAGCCAGTGCCCTGAAAGGACTCTAGCCACAAGCTGTGGGCCTGGATGGATGGACAGTGATTTGATTTAGCTCATCCTAAGCTTTCTGTTGCACATGCTTTTCTTGAGCGTCCCAAGATGCGTGATGCCTGCAGGTATGTCTGTACTGCAATACAAAGGAAGGGATGGAAGCACGCTGTCTCGACGCCTTTTAGCAAAAACTCTCAAAAAAGCAAGAACATCCCAAAACATCCCGGGGCAGAGGGAGAGAGAGAAGAAAATAAAAGCTGTTTGTCTCCAGCAGCATGAACTCCCAGCAAGAGGTGCAGAGCAGCTCACTTTTCACTACCTCATCTGCCCAGCGCTCTGCTGCATCCAATCTGCTAATTAATTGTTGGAAGACAGCTTTTAATAATAAAACAAGAAAGCGGTGATGCTGACGTGTCTTATACCCTGCAGTACTCCAGATGTGTTAAAGCTATAGATAGAAATCATTTCATTCACCATGAAATAACAAAAAAATGACACGGCTCTCCTGCCGTGAGACATTCCGTTGTAATGCAAGACAACAAAACAGCTTCAAAGAAGGAATTAAAAATAAATTTCGTACCTACTGGTGACTGCTGGAATAGCAAGGCAGACCAGAATAACCTACACTGATCTTCAGCTACAACTGGGCAAGGAAGCATCCTGCACAAGGGTAACTTAGAGCTTCTCACCCTAAAGGAATGAAACCTCCCATCCAAATATAACAGACCCCAAACACAACCCCGAGTTGTGTCTGAGCTAGCCTCAGGAAGACGGCAGAGGTGCTGCTTTATAAATAGCTTCACACAGCAACCCCAGCTCGACTCACGGATTCGCAGGAAGACGTTTGCTATCTGGTCACAGGAACACTCAGTGACAGTTTATCTGCTTGGAAGCATTCACCCCGCATGCTCTCAGGGCATATTGCACATGCACACGACACAGACTGCTAAATTTTGGCATGCTTTAAGTCCCCGTGCCCCAGTGACTCCTCTCAAAGCAGGCAGCAGGTGAGCCACAAGGAGAGCCCAACTGATAAATCAATTTCTTGTCCCACCACCTTGTATTTGGGTGGCTAAAATAAAAGAAAAACTGTCTCATTTTACACTTGAAGAAGGGTTTGATTAACCAGTTAATCAAATGCTGATGTACTTCTTACCCTTAGAAAACAGATTGTGAAGCATAAAAGCTGCCAGAGGAAGAAAAAACAAAACAAAACAAAAAAACAACAACAACAACAACAAAAACTGCTTCTGGGAAACCAGCAGCAACCCCCCAAACCACCCATATTCCCCCCATCACAGCCCCAGGCCCTGTCTTCATCCTCTAGGATCACTCTTACACATGCAAACAATGACAGAGTGTCAAGGTTCAAAAGGTAACACCTGCAAAGGAAGCCTCTTTTCAGCTAATTAAATGGCCTGAGCTATCTTTTATTTCCTTTATTTTTTTCCCCAAAGATTCTCCTGCTGGGGGTAACTTTAAGAAATATCTCACACGTGTGCTTTAATCCCCATTTAGCCTCTCCAATTAGGCAACGAGAAGCAACGTCACCAAACAAAAGTTAAAATGGAAAATGAAGAAATAGTTAAAGAAGGAAAAGAGGAGATCAAGAATGGGACCAAAGCCTTGAGCTCCCTAAAAAAAAAAAATTAAAAAAAAAATTTGCTTTGCTCACCTTTGCTTTGTTGGAACACCATAAAGGTAAATCCCTCGGCAGTCTTCACTGGAAAAACCTGAAAACCCTTAAAAGTTGTAGTACTTACAGGTTTATTTGCTTTGGGCTTTTTAGAAGGATAAAGTTGAGGAGCTCCTTTATTGGAGGGCAGGAAGTCTGGGGGAGATCTGCTGAGTTTGAGATGTGCTCTCATGTAGCCTGCTCGCAATTAAACACTCAGTGATTAGCAAATGACAAACTCCAAGGGGCTTCTCCTAGAAAAGGGCATCTCCACTCCCTGCCTAAAATTAACTGGGGCTGCAATTTCCCTAATTGATTTCAGAGGGCACCATACGCAGCCCAGCTGCGATCCCTGTTTGGGGAGTCCTGGGGCCTTTGACCTGCTCAGTGAGGGAATGGAAAAATTGGAGGGGAAAAAAAAAAAAGAAAAAAAGAAAAAAAAAAAAAAAAGCTTGAAATAGATTGGTTTTGCTGATTAAAAAATAAACAAATGAGGAGATTGCTCTGGTTTCGTGCTATCAGCTGCATGGCAAATGTGCTGTGATGTGGCAGCTCCACAAGGTGCTGCTGTGAGAACAGCTGGCTGCAGGCAACGTTAGGAGCTGACAGGAGGTTTTAAAGAGTTTCCCTGCTCCAGCTTTGTAGTAGGAATGAGGAAAAAAGATGATGAGGTGGTTCCTTGTCAGCATTTCCCAGGACTGGTGCCTGTCCCTTGCCATACGTATGTGGGGCTGAGGTTCCTTTGAAGTGAAGATAGAGTCAAGGAGGGGGGAGAACATGAGGAAATGATGTTTCCCCTCCCTGCCAAGCTTGTTTGAAATTCAGCACTTCACTTTCCAAACCAAACTGTGTGAGCTGTGGCTGGGTGACAGAAAATCCCCATCCGAAGCAGGAGGAGAGAGGTTTCTGCCGCTGCGTCCAAGCTCTCCCCGTGTGAGTGAGACCTGGCAGCCGTACAGCTCCGGCTGGAAACGATGCTTTGGCAGCTCTCAGCCCCAACAAATTACCAGCTCTGCAGAAAGCAGCAAGTAACGAGGAGCTACAAGGTAAGAGTGAGTGTGGTTTTTTTTTTTTTTTTTTTTTTTTTTTTTTTTTTTTTTCTAATAGCCTTTTTGTATGCATTGGACTGCTGGAAGGAAAAGCAGAGGGCAGAAGTGCTGCACAAGCCCCGAACGTTTCTCCTTGTAGAGCAACTCTCCTATTTAACTATTTAAGTGTTCAAAAGGAAACTAGCATTTTACCAGGGAGCCTATTCTGGCTCTGCTGGTTCCTCAGATTATGAATTATTGTGAGCAATTTACACTTTGGTTTATAGAGACCTGAGTGCAGCTGGCACTCACAATAATAGCCCACTAAGTGTTTACTTAAGCCTTCACTATGTTCGTTTAGCAAACACAGGATAAGCTCATAATAAAACACCCCGTCATTTATTACAGACGCTCTACAGTAAAAGATAACTTAGTAGGCAAGAACTCAAAGCAATATATTAACAAATGTACATGGCTCCAGAGATGCAAACTCTCTTTAGGCGAAACTGTACAAATGCAAAGAAAGAGATGCTAAAGAATTAGCATTTCTTTTACAATTCTGTTAAGACCAAAACATATCTGTTGATGAGATGAAAGAGACCTGGAAGGTGGATTGTTTAACCTCTTCAGCTGGCTGGGAAAGTGTAATTTTATTTTTTTTTTTAGCACTTAGCTCTTACATCTTCATACACGTGCTAGTGTCTTTGCAGCTGGTGGTAATCACTGAAAATAACCCCAGTGCGGGGTTGTTTTCCAGAGTAAACCCAGAACTTTATATCGTATTTATATTTACACTGCATACACAGCACAACACCGAGGGAACCTGTAGCGTGGCCCATCCCCAAAGCTGTCCCCAGGATGAGCCGTGGCGTGTCGCGAGGTGGCACTGCAGGACCGAGATTTCTCCCGTCCCATTTTTTGGTGGGCAGAAAATCTGCTGCAGGGGGGCAGAAAGGAGCCTTGGGGTGAGCCCCAGCACCCCGGGGTTACCTCCTTTTAAGACTGATCTGAAGATCTCCTCATCTGCTGGGGGTTCAGCCCCTCTGGGACAGCACCAGCATCACGAGCACTGCAGAAACTCGAAATGATTCGAGGGAAAGAGTTAATATTTTGGGGAAGTGGGCCTGGCAGTGTCTTTCCCCTTTATAAAACGTCTTTGTGCTGACCAGCGAGTGCAAGTTCCAGCAACGGAGGCATCCGGAGTGCATGTGCTTTGCCCATGTACCCTGTTTTATTAGCATTACGCTAAAAAATGCTGAGAAATAAACCCAAGGAAAATCAGTGCTTGTTGCAGCTGCCAGAAAGCGGCCACTTGGGGCTGTTTTCTGCCCAGTGTCCTACATTTCAGTTACCTCCTGCCAGGCTGCGTCCTTCCAGCCAGACAATCTGTGTTTCCTTTCCCTTTCTTGTGCTTCGTGCTAAACTGGGCACGTTCCAGAGAGAGACACCAGGCTCGTGTGGGTTTGCTGACAAATAAGCGAAGCCTGGGCTAAGCTCAAATTCCAGGTAGTTCCCAGCAGAAGCCTTTTTCTCCAGCCTGCTTTGTAAATGCAACTGCTAGGATGTTCTTCTCACCCCGCTGCTATTCCATCCTTCCACAGGAATTGTGGCGTGGGATTTCAGTCCCCTTTCTGCTGCTTTTTTGCCGTCACCTTTAGGGGCTTTGCTCCGGGAACGTCTCTGGGTTGAGTTTCACTTCTTTCTCAGCAGACCCCAGGCTCTCCAGAGAACCTTCTGGGGATGCCGAAGCATCGTCGGCTTTAAGCTTTGAGATGATCCTGGCGGTTTCCTCCGTCATCTCAAAGTGTTTGAGCTGCTGTTTGCCTCCTGAGCGGCCCCTGAGCGTGCTGGTGTCGGGCGAGCTGTTCCTGCTCCGAGTCCTCTCCCCCAGGACATCCTTTGCCGTGGAGCTGCTCTCGGTGGCGTTGCCTTCTGCACCGGTGTCCGTGGCCATGCTGGATAGCGTGGTAGTCCTCAAGGGCAAACTGGAAGGCTTGGGAATGACTGGTTTTGTTTTTGCCTGCACGCGGATGTATTTCACGGGCTGCCGACTGAAATGGCCCCTGGGCTGGGTGCCCACGACAGTGTCCGAATCGCTGTCGGTCCTCTCCTGCATGGAGTCCTCCAGGTCCTCCAGCTCGGAGCCAGTGCTTGTATTCATCTCTGAAAAACAACAACAAAAAATAAATAGTTACCTTAGAGCAGTGAGACGGGGTTACTGCAGCAAATAATTTTGGCTGAGGATTTCTGCTGCTGTTAGAAAGGATGCTGAAAGCCCTGCTGCGCCACGAGGCGAAAACTCCCCCCTCTAACAGCTTTGTTCATCGGAAGAAATGGGAGATGCACGCTTGGAAGAGGCACGAGGAATGAATCAGGTTTATATTCTTAGAGCTGTCCTCGGTGCACCGAAGCCAGCAGAGCTGGCAGGTGGCTGTGGGGCTGGGAGCCCGAGGCAGCACACACTTCTCCTGTGAGCACCAGAAAACGTGCTTGCACTGCCAGGCAAGCTTTGTGATGAATAATTATGCTGAAAAAGGCCCGGCTACGCTTCCCCTGCTGTGTACCAGGAGGTGCACGACACAACCAGCGTGGTACCAGGCAGCCAACACCAGCACCAAGACCCCCGCTTCGTTTACCTAGGGCATCCGTGCTTAATGGGCTGGGGGCTCCTTCCAGAGTCAGCTCGCTGCCGGCTTCCCTGGAAGACGAGTTATCAGACACACTGTCCACGCTTAAACCGTGCTGGGAGGAGAAATTCTGTTGGAAAAAGCCAGGAGTGTTTATACAGGACCCTCGTTTGACATGAAGACAGCTCCCGCTGCGCCCCGACTGCTGCTATAGCCCAGTGAACGGAAGCAAAAATTTAAGTAGAAAATGCCCTGATTTGTCTTAGATTATCTATAACATTTGAGGGAGTAGGGAGGGAGCATGCAGAAGGTCCCAGGGCTGGGCTGGAGGAAAATATTTGGGTTCGAGAGCAGCCTCCAGGCCACAAAACCCGCCCAGAAAGCGGTCGTGTGCTGGGACTGAGGTTCCTGTGCCCCATTTCAGGACAGAAAGGGGGAAACATCCGAAACCAAGCAATTACAGCACGGAAATTATGATCGAGTGTGAGTGTGAGTTTGCACAAGGACCAGGACACCCGGGGCAGGGGCTCCAGAAGTCGGTTTTATTAATCACAAAACGAGTGCCCTCAGAAGCAATTCCCCTTCCTAAAGGCTTGTGGCACCTGTAGGATTCAGTCACGCTGCGGACGTTTGCAAAACGCCCTTAAAAATAGTCCGAGGCAATAGCTGTGCACATCTCAGGGCTTTCTGTGGATGTTTATGAACCCTGTGGGATTTCTGCACACAGGGATGGAATTGGTGATTGTTGGTGATTTTTTTTATTATTTTTTTTTCAGCTGTCTTCACAGTTACTCCAGTTTCTGCTTCCTCAGGGTTTCTACACTGAGTGTGATCGTGGCAGACGGGCTGTCTTGCAGGAGGCAGAGAGCCCCAAACCCGGGTTCAACTCCCTTTGGCTTAACTTTAGGAAAGTAATTTCCTCTTTTTTTTCACTCATCACACCAGCCTTGGAAAGGAAAGAGCAGCCGTGTCTGGCTCGGGGGGGTGTTATGCCAATTTTTTTTTTTTTAAAGTGCTGTGAAGTCTGTGTGAACTATTGTGAGGAGAGAGCCATGGAGCTGGGGAAGAACTCAGAGCCCTCAGGAAAAATAAAATAATAATTAAAAAAAAAAAAAAAAGGATCCACGGCCAGGGATCAGGAATGCAGCAGGGCCCTGTTGGGTTCCACCAGGGAACCCGCTGGCTCTGATGTAGCTGCTTCCAAAATTGTCGAGCTGTTTACGCAGGGAAACAGCAGTGTCCCGAGTAATTTAGCATGGAGAAACCCACAAGTTTTCGGAATAACTGGGATATAAACCATGGAGCAAAACCCACTGTCCAGAGTGGGCTGAGAAGCTGATGAGTGATCTCTAGCTTATATATTAATTTTTTTTTTCTAGTTCTCCCACTCCATGTGCAACAGGCTCTCTGCTCTTGGAGTAACCCCCTGACAGCGAACAGCTTTTTTTTTTCTGTGAATAAAGTTCTCTTTATCTGCCAGTTTGCCTTCCTGTCCCTACAGCAGGGTCAGCAAGCCCAGCTCAGCGTCTGGCAGCTCTACCTCTAGGGTTATTTTCTGGACTGCGCTTGGGCTCTGGTGTCCTTCATCCTTTTCTGTCGGTGCTTCTTGCGAGGGGTTTTCGCAGCTGAGGGGTAAGGATGGAGGCAGGTCCTCCATCCCGAACACCCTTTCGTAGTTCTGGATGAGAAACTCCACGATTTGGGCTTGGTACCCGGAGTCAACGAGGCAGGACATGGAGACGTCGCTCCCCGAGCCCGGCCGGATCAGGGTGGGCCCGAACACTATGCCCAGGTTGTTTGGGGACATCTTGTTCTCTTCGTATTTCTCTGCCACCCTGGGGAAGGGAAACAGGACTGTGAGGGGCTTCCCAGCTCTCAGCCCCAAAATACTGAGTACAGAGAGGGAATGCAACAGCCCCACGTCTCCTAGTAGAGAGAGAAACCCCAGATTTACAGGGAAAAAGAGCTCTGGTCTGTGCACAAAAATAAGACAAAAATCCCCAAGGTTGCCCAAATCTGTCCAGGCAGCTCTGATATTTTTTTTTCTTGTATTTTAATGACCAAGCGTGGTCATTAAGACTTTCTCCTAATTGCTGCAAGTCTCTCCTTCCCACAAATGACTTCTTCCCCTCCTCACAGCCTCCTGCTTGGCTCTATCCCAAGCTGAGGAAGCCCCGGAGCTCACCTTGGATGCTTTTGGTGCTGAGCTGGCAGTGGGGTCTCAGCAGTGCCCCCCCTGGGGTCACCACCTAACGCCCCCAGCACGCTCCTCACCTGTACAGGTGGGCGATGAGGTGCCGCAGGGTGTTGTAGTTGCTTCCAGGCAGTTTGCTCAGCAGCTCCTTCATGCTCTGGATGGGATCCGAAGGGACGCCGGCGCAGTCCGTCCTTTCTTCCCCGGGTTTTTGAATCTCTTTGGCGAGCGCGATGAGGCTGTTGTAGAGCTGGTACAGCAGCACCGGTCCCGAAAGCTGCAGCGAAAGGGGGGGGGAAACTGAGTCACTTCATCCTGCTGGCCTGGGGCTGGGGGATGTGGAGGGCTGAGCGTGGTGGTCTGGAGGAGGTTCGGTACCCACTTCTTTCAGGAAATGCTTCAGCACCCCGGTGATGTCGTGGGGGGAGTGCTCGGAGAGCTCCACCAGGCTCCTGCCGTTCTCAAAGGCCTGGCACAGCTTCTCCACCCGGGCTTTGGACCCGCTTATCCGATAGATCCCCTGCGTTGGGGGGAAAAAGGGAACGGATCAGGATTTTGGGATGGAGCGAGAACAGATCGGAGAAGGGGGTGACACTGAGACAAAACACCCACGGGAACAACTCACCTGCACTCCCAGGGCACGAGCTTCGATCTCCGAGGTGCATTTCACCACGATGAAGGGGACCTCCTCGGGGAAGTCTCGAGGAACTTGGGTGAAGTCGATGCCGAAAAGGGGCACTCGGTTGGGCAGCTTCCTGTGGCCGCAGGTGATCAGCAGGCTCTCCAGGCACTTCTTGTGGCAGGCCAGGTAGCACTGGAAAAGCAGAAATCCCCCCAAAATTATGCTCTAGCTGTAGTCCAGGTCTCCTTGGAGGACTTTTCCTATTCCCACTCTACCAAAGTCCCTTTTTGGGGCACAAGAGGGCTGTTTTGGGCAACTGGCGGTGTACCCATGCACTGAAAAACGTGCCTGGAGTCAGGAGAAAAACCACAAAATTTTACAGGGGGGCTTTTCACCCCCTCAGACCTCCAGTGGGGTGATCACAGGCTGCTCACGAGGTGCCTGCGATGAAGGCTGAGCCCTCACCTCCTCGCACTCGAAGCCGTTGACCATGAAGTTGTCGCAGTCCCGGCACTTGGACGGCCCCCGAAGCTTCCTGAGCCGGTGGGTCTGCGCCGCGCTGGAGAGGAGGATGTTCCTGAATTGTTGCTGGGATGAGCCGTTTTCTGCAGAAACAGCACCAAAATTAACTGGTAACTGGGCAGGAAAGCGCAGTGTTCAGCTCCTGAGGCAGATCTCCAGGTCGCTCACCGTTTTCAAAGGTTTGCAGTGAATCTCGTTCCTCGAAATCGTCCGAGGAGGACATGGTGCCGGTGGATGGAGCTTTCAGCAGCTTCCTGTTGGAGTTTCCTGGAGAAGAGAGAAAATGCAAAGAGCTGGTCTCATCCTTGTGATCCTCTACAAGTAAAAGAAACTTGTAAAACAAACACAAACTATTTAAAACAAAAAAAAAAAAAGGCAAGTAAAACAAACACAAACTATTAAAAAAAAAAAGGCAAGTAAAACAAACACAAACTATTAAAAAAAGGCAAGTAAAGCAAACACAAACTATTAAAAAAAAGGCAAGTAAAGCAAACACAAACTATTAAAAAAGACAAGTAAAACAAACACAAACTATTAAAAAAAAAGGCAAGTAAAACAAACACAAACTATTTAAAAAAAGGCAAGTAAAACAAACTTGTGTTTGTTTTATTTTTTTTTTTTAATAGTTTACTTGTGTCTGTTTTAAATCCTAGGTAAGAATCTGTGCAGCTCTCACCTGGGCTGGAGTTGGGAGAGTCCAGGGATCGGGACTCGCAGCTCCCACCGAGGCTTTCTGTGTCGCTGCAGAGGGATCTGTTGGTACCTGCAGGAGATGGGCACGGTCACCAACCATCCCCAGCACTCCTGGGGAAATTGCTAAGAATTGCCTTCAGCTGAGGCGATCTGTGAATGCCTCTAACTGGATCTTTAGCAATTTAGCAATAATTTAGCAATTATTTCTCAAAACATCTGTTTATTTATCCGTGAATGTCCTTTGAAGCAAGAAAAACAGGCAGGTGCTCAGTAAGCCAAAGCTGCAATCAGTCCTGAAAAACTTAGGCTTCAAAAGACATCTAGATAATAAATAAAGACATCTAGATAATAGATAAAGACATCTAGATAATGCCCTTTCTATTAGAAAAAAAAATAAATTAAAAAAGGTTGACAGCTTCTACTCCAGAAAAGGATGCGTTACAGATGCTGTTAGACAGTGAAATATATTTTTAAACCTGTAAAAAAATGTAATTTTCCTTGCTAGAATGATATAAATACACTTTGGGTCAAAATTCAAGCCAAACTCCCAGAAAATCTGTATTTTTCAAGGGTAAGAAGCAGCAGCACAATCTCTGTGCTCCATTCTCTCCCAGTTTGAGTGCTGACCTAAAGATCTGAGAACATCTCCCACCTCTTTTTGGCCACACCAGTATCTAAATTAAACTGACGACTCAAAAAAAAATTAGGTTTTTATTAAATTCAACCTACTCTGTTCACCATTTGGGGAGAACTGCCTTCTGGACGTGTCTTCTGGAGTGCTGGCCTCCTTGCTGCCTCCCGTGTGCTGCAGTGACATCTTCTTCCTGCTGCTGGGGGGAGACCTGGGAAGGGGTCGCAAAAGATTTTGCAGAGATGAAGAATAACGAGCAATATTGCATCGTGAGGAGATTCGTGGATGCCAAAAGACATCTGTTTCAGGCAGCTTTTGGGTATAAGGCAAATTTTCAAGGAGTAAACGCTCGTGTAAAACTAGGAATTATTCATTTAATCTAATTTCACCTTGTCTATTCACAGGAAAAAATGGGAATTATGAGAACAGAGCGATCCAAACCTTTGGCAAATGATAGAGAAAACCACTCTTTCATCTTCCACCTTTTTTTTTTTCCTTACCTCTGCCCTCCCGAAGCAAGAGACTCGAATTCAAACACTTCCATGTGAATGTCTTTCTTCTGCAGAGCCTGAATGAACTCCAGATACTTCTCACCCACTTTGTAGGGCTTGCAGACCTCGGCCAGGTGCTGGTATCCCACCGGGATGTGCTCTGACTGAGTCTGCCGCTGCTTAAACATCCTTAACGTGACCTTACAAGGGAAAAAAATAAAATAAATGGCATTGCATTACCCACCTCGGTTACCTGAATGTCGTTATTCTGCTCTGCAGGATGGGCAGAACAAATTATTTGTTGCTGTTGCTTGTTTTTGCTTTCCTAGCTTTTTTTTTTCTGGATATCTGTCCTGCAAGCAGTAGTAATTGAAAATATTTTTATGTATCTGAGAAGCGTTTGAGCAGCAGGTCGGTGACAAAGCGCTGTCCGGAGCGCTCGTCTGATTTCACCTGCTGGAGAATGGGGTAAAAAAAAAAAAATAAAAAAAAAAGAGGGAAGTGGTCTTATGCCAAAGAGGATTTTCTCTGAAATGAGGGCTGGAAGAGAAATTATGAGAAGGAGGAATTACACGTACCCACGTCAGCACCTCGTCTCCCTGGTAAATGAGCTTCCGAATGTGGGAGACGATGCGTGCCCGCACTTTCTCCAGTTCCTGCCGCCGAAAATTGGCGTCGTTAATGCACATCTTGTACAGGGCTTCTGTTTCCTGGACCTGTGCGGGGTGGGGAGCAGAGCAAAGGGAGGAGAAAGTCACCGGGATGGAAAGGGAGCTGCCAAAACACAGCTCACGTAAACCCAGCTGGCCTGAAACTCCTCACCTTGGCTTGTGCCTCCTCGCAGGAGCGGCGCCGCTTCTCCAGCTGCTTGCTGGCACTGCTGGGGTTGACGACTGCTGCGCTCTGGTATTCGTCCTCTGCCTTGGCACTCAGGTACTTGGCTTTCTCCAGCTCCTCGCAGCGCTGCGCGTACTGCAGGCGGGACTTGCGCAGGGATGACAAGGACTCGTTCTTGGACAGGCAAAGAAATAGGGTTAGGGATCCACATGGGGTTAGGGGTCCACATAGGGTTAGGGGTCCACGTGGGGTTAGGAATCCACATAGGGTTAGGGATCCACGTAGGGTTAGGGGTCCACGTAGGGTTAGGGATCCACGTAGGGTTAGGGGTCCACGTAGGGTTAGGGGTCCACGTAGGCTTAGGGGTCCACATGGGGTTAGGGGTCCACGTTAGGGTTAGGGATCCATGTGGGGTTAGGGGTCCACATAGGGTTAGGGGTCCACGTAGGGTTAGGGGTTCACGTAGGGTTAGGGGTCCACGTAGGGTTAGGGATCCACGTAGGGTTAGGGGTCCATGTGGGGTTAGGGATCCACGTAGGGTTAGGGGTCCACGTGGGGTTAGGAATCCACATAGGGTTAGGGTCCACATGGGGTTAGGGGTCCACGTAGGGTTAGGATCCACATGGGTTTAGGATCCACATAGGGTTAGGGTCAGGGGTTAGGGGGTCCACATGGGGTTAGGGGTCCACATGGGGTTAGAATCCACATAGGTTAGGGGTCACATATGGGTTAGGGGTCCACGTGGGGTTAGAATCCACATAGGGTTAGGGATTCCCGTAGGTTAGGGACCACGTAGGGTTAGGGGTCCACGTAGGGTTAGGGGTCCATGTGGGGGTTAGGGGTTCACGTAGGGTTAGGGGGTCCACGTAGGGTTAGGGGTCCACTTGGGGTTAGGGGTCCACGTAGGGTTAGGGGTCCACGTGGGGTTAGGGGTCCCCATGGGGTTAGGGATCCACGTGGGGTTAGGGATCCCCATGGGGCCGCAGGAGGAACAAATCACAGCAGGGCTCCTCTCACAAGGAAAGCACCTGCCTCGTCCTTCAAGGACGATAATATCTGTTAATAGATAATATAATAAGATATATCTGTTCAGATATTATCCTCCAAACACTCCCCCTTCCTCTCCTCCCAAAGCTCAGGCGCTCCTTCGGAGCCCTTGGCAGGATGCATATTACACTATTTAGTTATAGCTTGTTCGTAAATGTTTGCATTTACAAATTATGTTTACAGATTTGCAAAATTGTCACATTTTCGTTTGTTTTCAGTGTTTTGAGCTGTGACCAGGTCAGGCCCGTCTTTCAGCCTCTTACCATCCTCTTTTGCTCCTTTGTCCACTGGTCTTTGAATTCCTTCCTCCACTTCTCAATCTCGTTCTTCTTGGCTGACAGAGGCTGCGGAGGAGTCAGAGTTAGGATGGCAAGTTTCTTACGAGGTGGGAAAAAATATCTGGCAGGTGAGGGCATGACATAGAAAGCAAGCCTTGCGAGGTGCTTCCTTCTCCCTTAATCCTGGTTTGCTTTTCCATCTCTCCTTCCCCCGACCCCACTGCTGTTAGGTTTCTGTAGCACTCCAGCAGCTACCACTGCCTGATTTTCCAGCGGAGTAATTTGTTCTCTGCAGAAATCCAGTACCTGGTAGAATTCCTTCTGCTGGAGCAACCCCACGGTCTCATTAGCTGAATTTCCAACCTTAATGTCGTGTTCCAGGACCATTGCATAGAGCGCTCGAAGAGGCATGTTGGACTGCAGAAAAAAAAAAAAAAAAAAAAAAAAAAAAAAAAAAAAAAAAAAAAAACAACAACAACAAAAAAGGTATAAAATGACAGATTTCCAGCTTTCCTAAATTCATGAGCTTTTTTTAGCTACGACCAAACTTTATTATGGTATAGAGCTGTGTGCACTGGTTAAATGAGCAAGCGTTGTATTTTATTTCAGACACAGATTTGCAGAAGGGTTTTTATGCTGCACAGCATTGTGCTGACTCCCTGCCCTCTGTTTCCCCAAGCAGTCACTCCCTGTGTTGTAAGCCCACAAAAAAAAAAAAATATGAATTGTTCCAACACAGAATTTTAGGAAGGTTTTTGGAGGGTTAGTTGCTGCAGGATTTACGCTCACGTGTGTGAACAGCCTCGCGTTTGCTCCGTGTAGGACTCTGGAGGAAACCCCACGCAGCAAAGCAGGAACATCCCGGGGACCCGTACCTGCTGGAGGATGGCATTTCGTCCCGATTCTGCTATCTTCACAATCCCTTTGGCAAACTCCGTTTCTGTGGAAGGATCAGACACCACGTTAACAGCCGCAGGGGTGGCTCTGAACGCCGGGTGTTGCCAGGTGGGATCGTTCAGGTAAAGAAAAAATCTGACTCAAGCTCTTTGTCTTCTTATTTGGGCAAAGAAAGTAAAAAGTAAATATGTAGCTTGGTTCTCACTGCTATAATTTCATTTCCAATTTTATGTTCTCGGCTACAATTAAAAAAAAAAGCTATCAGACAACGTACGAACTCCCAGCTGGTACCGTACACACTGACTCACCGTAGCTCAGACGTTTTTCAATCCAGTTGAGAAGCTCTTTGACATATTTACACCACATTTTGGCGTACTCGAGGGCTGCATCAATGCCACCTTCACATTTAATCAGCATTTCATCTGCCTCTTCAACTGGGAAAAAAAAAAAAAAAAATCCAGATTCAGCGTGGCTCTAGCTGATGGACAGAGGCTCCCCCAGGAGTGGCAAAAATTGGAGTTGGTGCTCTGAATACCCAGATAACAGCCATAAAAAGAGGTCTTTCCCTGACATTTTAAGTAGAAATCTGAGAGAAAGCAGCTTAGAAAATCTCCTTTTTTTTTTTTTTTTTTTTTCCTTTGTGGGGACTTGATATAAAAAAACAATTTAGTGTCGCGTTTTATGATGCCAGTGACAAGCACAGACCCAAAGAGAATCATCCCAGTGGGCAACAAAAGTGCTTCAAAGAAAGATCTTCACTGTGCCTAAAACCTTTTGAGACTGAGGTCTCAGTAATTGGAAGTCAGGACCTCACGAGCACCTTCCTAACAAGACATTAATTGATGAATTATTCACATAATCGTGTTAATTTGTGGTCTTACCTGTCATGTCTGTGTGCACTTGTTTTTCTGAACTGCTTTTGCTCTTGCAGAAACTTTCATTCAGCTGTGGGGAGGGAAAAAAGAACGAGAGGAAAACGGTGAAGGAAAAGGAGTAGCGAGAAGTCGGGAGGATTTTTCAAAAAAAGAATAAAAAAGTGTAAAAATTCTGCCATGAACAGAAACGTGGAGGAAGCACATTGTTAATGCAGAGGGATCAGGGCTGGAAAAGGACTGCTATGATTGAACGCTGGCAGCTCTGATTTTATTATGAATCACAAAATATTTGATTATTATTTTTTTAAGTTTAGCTCGGAGGATAATACGATTACATGAGGACAGTGGCTGTCAGAGAAAAATTAAGTTCCTTGCCCCTTTGTTTACACAGAAGGGCACGAAATGAGGCCAATTACCCCCAAAAGACCCACACTGCCCAAAGCAAGCAAAAGAACCATTAAATTCTACTTTAAAGGGCTTCTGTTTGTCAAAGCCAGAGCTTCAGAAATTTTTGATGCGTGACTCCCATACGTATTTTAGGTCTGCTCCCTTGTCTGGTCTTTTTCTTAGAGTGCAGAACTTAAACCACCAATCTCCACATCTCATTTTTCAGAAAAAAAATAAATAAAAAAAAAAAAATACAAATCTAAATTGTCCTATTTATGATATAATCCTAATTATCCTATTTATCCTATATGCCTGAATGCTCCCACTAAATATTGTCTGTTCTTTTGCCACCACCATTACTGCAATAACCAAATGTTGTGCAATTCTTTTCTATCTACTCAAGTAAAAGCCGTAACTGTTTTTTTCAGAGGGTCACCTAAAAACCAATTGGAATAATGTGCATTTTGGCAAAAGACACTGTTAATTTTTTTTATTAAGACAGGTAATTCTTTGCCTACCGGAACGATCTCTCTTTCTGCAGACAGGTCTGTGTCGTCAGTGCCGTCAGCATCACCAATGAACAAATCAACTGTCCTGTAAAATGAAAAGGAATGACATGAAATAAATTAAAAAAGAATGATAAATTAGGGCTGCAAAGACCCAGAGAGGTGGTTCTGCCCCGTATCTCTACGTACGCGTTGCCGATGGAGATCTCCAAGTCATCCAGACTCCGGAATATCTCACTGTACCGCTTCTTGTTTTCAGGGACCCGTTCTTGACTGTCGAGACCTGGGGTTGGAGAAGAAATTGTTTCACTGGAGCACCCAGCCCAGAGCTCCCTGAGGTCTGCAGGACGGTTTCCAGGGGGACGTGGCTGAGCTCTGCAATCCCGAGTGGATTCATAGGGAAGTGACAAACTGCA